GCTCCAACTACTACAACCCCTACCCCGGCTACCCCTCCAGCATTTACCAGTACCCCTATTTCCACTCCTCTCGCCGTCCCTACGCGACGCCCATCCTCAACGGTTTGTCCATCCCGCCGGCCCACAGCCCCACCGCTAACTGGGACCAGCCAGTCTATACAACCCTGACCAGGCCTTAAAGGCTGCGTGGAGCCCCCGAGGGCTTCCCCGACCTGTGCACTAATGAAGGAATGAAGATGAAGAGCGGGGAGTGCTGTGATAGTTTCCGAAGTGCCTCCTGAGCCACTGGGAACTCTGCTCGTTGTGACTGGACGTCCCCTTGCTTCAAAACTCTCCAGAAGGACAGAGCTCTATTTTTCTTTAATCAATACAATTATGAAAAAAAAAGTAATGATAAAAATAACTTAAAAAAAAAAAAAAAAGGAGACAAAAAAACCCAACAAAACAAAACAAAAAAAAAAGGACTGGCAATTCCTTTTGAATAAATGAAGGACAAAACCATTTGACTCCTCTGTGAGGACTGAACTGAATTAACTCGTCATGGAAGTTGACAAGTGCAAAGGTGGAGCAGGAGGGTAGTGAACGGGGGGAAGAAAATAAAAAAGCTGTTCAAGACTTTAAGGGTCTATTGCAATGTGAGGAACGGACCAACCTTGAGGGCAAGAACTCACTCGGACCAATGTGGATGAAACCCAAAAACCTGGCTATTCCGTGGAACAATCTCGTGGGAACAAAGAGTCTGGTGGGACCAACCAATTAAATGTCTGAAGTGTTTGGTTGTTTTTTTTTAGTCAAGAGTTCTTCTAAGCAAGGTTTGGCTGTAATTAACATTTTGTTTTGGTTTTTTTTTTTGGAAGCTTAAAGTGTTTTGGTTTTGTTTGTTGTTGTTTTTTTTTTTTTAAATCTGTTAAATATGTATTTATGTTCTGTATTATTTTGTCTTTTAATTAATGAAGTAATTTTGTGCAAAAAAAGTAGAATTTTAAAAGATTTTAAAGATGGGGTGGGGAGGGAGCATAAAAATAGTGGAGATGATACAATAAAATGGTGTTATGAGTCTATAGATTTTCCTTGTTTTTTGGGTTTTTTTCATTTTGAACCACTGCAGCAGACGTGGTTGAGAGAGGGACTGAACAGACCTGGTCACCAAGGGGAAACTCAGCTGGGAATGCAAAATAACAAGGGGAGGGGGGGTGTGTGGGGGGTGGAAATTACTAATTACACAGGGAGGCTTAAAAGATTTTAAAAAGGAGCAGGGGGTTTTTCTGGCTACCTGCTTTGGGGGGTTCAAATTGGATGTAAGGCATTGCAGAGTCTTTGTACACCTTCAGAACCAGGACTACTTTATAGGAAGATGTAATTTAATGAGAAATTATCAACTTCTGCTTTAATTTTGGCTTCTAGGGACCAGATATCACCCATCAAGCTGTGAAACTAAAATCTTCTCCACTAAAAAAAAATGTTTAGGTACTTAGTTTTAGACTAATATTTCATTGATATATTTCTACTTCTTCCATTGTATGCTGAGCATATAATAACCATCTATTTTATGGTAAATCGTGCCTTTAAAAACTTTGTAAATCTAAAAACACATTTCAGAGGTTATCATCTTTTTACCTTTTCTATGTTTCCTACTCTTTTTCTAAAAATATTTTTTGCATATTTCCTTTTGGGGGACGTGGGGGTGGGGGAAAGTACAGAAAGCTCATTTTTATGCAATCTATTTTTCTGTATAAAGTTTGAAAGACTTTGGCTGTTACTTATCTGTTCTCTTCACTAGCTTCTGACTAAGCAATGCTAACTTTTGTACAGATCAATTTGATAAAATTAAAAAATTGCTTTTTATCAAGTACGTGTGATGTTTTCTTTCTGCTTGAGCCTGTTTCTCTGCTGAAGAGAAATGCAGAGAGCAGCTTCAAAAGAGACAGGATATTCAGAACAAAATATTTTGGATCGAGGTTTTCTCAGTTCCCCTAACGTGCTGGCTTGTTGGTTTTTTTTGGTTTGCTATTTTTCTCGCTCCCTTTCCCAGTATTTAAGGTGTCTTACTATGAGATTTTGCATTTTTTATTCTTCACTTCCTTGAGAAGTACATTTCCATGCCCGTAATCCCAAGGATTTCATAGGATTTCATTGAGACTGCTCACATGAGGAAGGGTTTGTGAGGTCAGACCGTGCACAGTTTTAGCCCAAGTGCATTTTGTTCTCTACAGCACGTAGGAATTTTACAGTAACAAATTCTGTTTTCTGGTTGGTGAGCCCTTGTAAATACTTCTTAATTATGATAGCAACAAAATTATATGTTACATGTAGTGGTTATGTTGTTTGTTTGCTTGTTTGTTTGGTTTTTTTTTAAAATACAGTCATTAAAATAGTTATTTTTGTGACTTTTTTTTTTTTTTTCCTTATATAAATTAAGTTGCAGTTTGTGTTCAGGAAAAACTGGTGCAAGATTTTCAGGCCAGGCCCTCATTGGGAGGAAAGGATTGGGATGAGGGAAATCCAGGCTGAGGAATGAGCTCAGGGCTTGGTTGCAGTGAAGCCCTGTGGAAAATGTTTTAACATGGGGAAAATAAATGTGATGACAATTAATGAAGCTCAAGAACATTAATAAAGTCTGAACAACAGAGTCCCAATGCTGATGTGCTGTTTGCAGTATCAGCCAAGAGCTATCTTGCCAGAGTGTCTGTAACTGGACACCATTTTCTCTGTGCTCATTTACAGAAGTGCCAGCAAAAATGAGGATTATGCTATAAGCCAACACTGCAGAGTAACTTTCCGAGACTTTCTTTTCCCTTTTCCCTTGCCTCTAGTTACAACATGAGTTTTAAGTTGTATCCCAACTCATGCTTGAAAAATAGATGTCTTTTGGCTTTGCATGTTGAGGTAGAGAGTCCCTTCCAATGTCAAAGGCTTTAGGGAAAAGAGAAAAAAAGGGTGAGCTGGGAATAGAAGTGCTTATCTTTAATTTCTTCTGGATGTTTGATAGCAAAGCTTACAGTGACTTCATTGCTACCCAGATTAAGCTTTAAAACAGCGTTAAAATGTGGTGGTATTGTAAATCACCCCAAAATACTGAAATTAAAAGCTGCACCGAAGCATCTCTGGCTCAAGGGAGAGTGTGGTGGGGTCTGTGCACCCAGCAGGATGGGTCCCAGCTGCAGGATCAGGGAACATCCTGATGTATGGTGCCAGCCCTGCCCTCCCAGCACAGGGGGATGTGTGACCCTGCAGGTCCCACAGCCACGTGGCTTGTGCAGAGCTGGGCTCTGCCCTGGTGGGTGCTGGAGGGGGGGGGTCCTGGGTGGATGTGGGGCCCCTGGGCCAGCCTGGTGACTGCACTGAGGAGATGCACATCCAAAATACATGTTCTTAAATCTCATTCTCTTTTGTCCACACTTCCTTGCCACTTGTTCCTGCTTTCTACATGTTTTGCAAAGTCAGCCTAGCTTTTACTAATGTTTGCAGCAATCAAATGTGATAGATTTGTGCTGTTCAGTGGGTACAGGTAGTAATGAGAGCCCTGGGGACTCCTCTGCAGCTCCTAGAAGCAGCTCCTGTTTGAAAAGCTGACTCTGAACGGTGACATTCAATATTTATTTTTTTAATTTCCCCCCCCCCCGCCCTCAGAGTCAGGGGCACTCACTGCACATTTCCTGAGTGAAATTCAAAGGCAGTACAAAATAGATGTTCAAGAAGGCAATGACCAGGTGGAATTCACTGGCCTGAATAATCTGGTGACTCAAGCTTCAGGGTATGCTGGAAATTTCTAAGAGCACCAGAATTTCACTCCCCAAGCCCAGATTTGCACTTAAATCCTCATTTCCTTAGGAGAAAAACACTTATGGGGGAACAGTTTCTACTCAGAGGAGAGCATTTTGGTGTAAAATTAATGTTGTTTGTAGAAATGCATTTTCATGCATTGTCCTTCCCTTTTATGTGTGGATATTGTCTACAGAAAGAGAAGTGATTTTGCAGGAGCTGAGGTGAATGGCAGCATTGTGTGTCCCCAGCTCAGCTCTGATGGCTCTTGTGTTGGCGTGAATCTGGAATGTCTCTGCAGAAGTCAATGAGATCAGGTGAAACCAAGACTGGCTTTTGACCCCTGGTTGTCAACAAAAAAAGGGTTCTCAAGATAATTGCAGGAATACACAAAGTCCCCACCCCCCCTCCCTCAGAGTCAGGGGCACTCACTGCACATTTCCTGAGTGAAATTCAAAGGCAGTACTAAATAGATGTTCAAGAAGGCAATGACCAGGTGGAATTCACTGGCCTGAATAATCTGGTGACTCAAGCTTCAGGGTATGCTGGAAATTTCTAAGAGCACCAGAATTTCACTCCCCAAGCCCAGATTTGCACTTAAATCCTCATTTCCTTAGGAGAAAAACACTTATGGGGGAACAGTTTCTACTCAGAGGAGAGCATTTTGGTGTAAAATTAATGTTGTTTGTAGAAATGCATTTTCATGCATTGTCCTTCCCTTTTATGTGTGGATATTGTCTACAGAAAGAGAAGTGATTTTGCAGGAGCTGAGGTGAATGGCAGCATTGTGTGTCCCCAGCTCAGCTCTGATGGCTCTTGTGTTGGCGTGAATCTGGAATGTCTCTGCAGAAGTCAATGAGATCAGGTGAAACCAAGACTGGCTTTTGACCCCTGGTTGTCAACAAAAAAAGGGTTCTCAAGATAATTGCAGGAATACACAAGTGGTAGAAGTTCCTCTTTTCTATTGATTTATTTATTTTAGTTTTGGTGCAGAGAACACTGCACTGAATTGCTCAGAAGATACCCTTTGGTAAGAAAGAGGAAATGAATTTTATAGACCATATCAACATTCCTTCTGCATGGTTGAAAGTGAAAAAGTCCCTTCCCATCCTCCTTATTACACTTTTTTTCTGGAGTGGCATCAACTTTTGTTACACATTTCATACAGCTGGGTGTTAAGTTTATGGCAAAGAATTTCTTACATGGCTTTTCTATGACTTTATTCAGGTTGAATAACCTGCTGCATGGCAGCAGATTCTCAGTCTTCAAGAGCATCAAGTTGGGTCCAATAAATTCAGGTTTCTTTTAAGTCTGAATGTATATTTTTAAGCATGAATTCACCAAACCAAAGGCTCCAAACTCCCTTTCTGGGGAGGGGGAGAATGGAAACAGGGAGTTTCCCATCAACTCCTGCCCA